CATTTTTATCTCGCATTGTGGGTATCCACTTAAAAACTGCCTCGTCAGCTACTTCGTTGACACATGCTCCTAAATGTTTTAAACAAGAATTTGAGGAATCATAATTTTGTAATTTATCTCGATTTTTATAATAGTTAATAAATTGTTTGGAAGATTACCAAATTTTAAAGCAATTTTTTTTTCTTGAAGCATTTATTCCCTTCCTGAAGAAATGCATACTTTTGCTTGGTGCTCAAGCACTTACGTTTGTAAGTTTTTGAGCTACAAGAAACTAAGTCACCAGTACGTCTGATAAACACTACAAATGAACGGAGATTAATTTACGGACACCAGGATAGGAAACAACTCCATTGAGGTTGAAAGGAAATATCGAAAATGCTTCTAGTGAATTGGACAAAGAGTGTTAAGGCTCACACTTCTTGGATAAAACGCATAGAATTTCCATTGCTCTCGGTGAGTTAGACACCCAATAAAACCAATGAAAATTTGACGATCAACAGTTGTAAAAATGGAGGTTAACTTGCAATGTTCAGAAATAGAGCGAAAAACATTTGAATCACAAGAAAAACGTTTGTAATATAGAAAATGTACTTTGCTATCGGGAGGTTACATTACGAAAAAAGTCCTGAAATGTTCTTGGTTCCAGAAAAAAGTTCGCTATATCGCAACATTCGCAATATTAAGATTCGTAAGATGGAGACTCGACTGTACATTGTACAACACATGGGAAGACATAAAATAGCCTTAAAAAATTCACCATACAATTATGCTGTTATAGAAATTAGCATATCTATACATTTAACGAATTGAATGATTCAGTTTCGTACAGGAAAAATACCTTTAATTTGGATCTGATCCTCTCAAGAAGCAATACCACACAGGAAGATATGTGTGATGCTTTCAATTATGAAGACTATTAACTCGGTAAGAAGTGTGAGCCATTACTATTACACGTAAGGTGAAAGCTCGGCTGGGATCTTTAGAGAGGAGATTGAGAGAACAGGTGCACGTTGTCTTAGAGCATCTCAAAATGCTCGATAGTGGTAAGGTCCATTGAGTAATCTGGCTACTGCTTGCGCTGAAAGGTTTCCTTTTCAAGATAAGCATGTTCTATGTTCTCACACTCTCATTCTGTAACACAAAAACACTGCCTATTTCCCGGCATAAGGGAGAACATACGCATCTAGAATGTCATTTATTTTGATGTCAACACTTACATTTTCGCGAGAAAAGACATGGATGTCTGTGCATCCATTCTAAGAGATACCACCATACGCACATACACTGCCTGATATATATTCATCTTTTTCACGTGTCAGGGATGAAAACAATTCCCATGTTCTCATAAAATGATAAAAAACCCCACTACCACTTTCGAAGCCGTACTGGGACTTATCTTTAAATATAATAACCCGAAATAGATCACGTGTCCAATGTGTGTGTGGGCAAGATAATGTGCCCACTACATTTCTCTCAGACAATGGAGTGACTTGAAATTGATGACAATGACTGCTAGCGTCACATAAAAACTACGTTCGTGAAGCCTTCTACGCATTTTGGCCTTGATGCCAACATTCTTAAGGATCGGAGTTTCACCGAAAATTCTGTTCTAAGCCTTCGCGCTCATAAGAATCGGTCATCAGTACTCGTAGTATTACGTGACTGTCCTTAGCAAGACCTTTTGTTCCTTGGTTAGAAATTGTGTTGCTAATGTCTATATATCACACATGGACTCGCATCTAATCACCTAGCTACTTCTATTTGACTTAGTCCAGTTTGTAGTATTCCAATTGCTTGTCTTCTCAGTTCTTTGATCAAATAATGACTTGAGGTATGCTGAAATTTTGCTATGTCAGATTTCTAATCCGAGAAACGTAACGACAATTGCTGTCTTGCTTTGATGCATCCATTTTTATGCTCCTCACCAGTGACGTATTCCGACCGCATCAACACTGTTTTGTTTAATATAATTGTGTGTTCAGAGAGCTCCATTTAATTACCAACGTATTCAAATTTCATTCAAATTGGTGTATTTTTAGGGATGTTATTGCTATTTTTGTGATTTTTCCTTAATTTATGATAATCAGAGTATGTAAACCCTATTGAACGAATTGTTTAAAAAAAATACTATTTAACAATTTAATAAGAGCTTTTAAAAATTGAGTCTCTAACAGTAAACGTTTTTTTTTTTAATAAAATGCAAAATATTAATTTGTCAGTTGGCAGTCACTTTTTATATTTAACTAAGCAAGACATAAATAAATTTGACAACTTTTAAGATTTAATAATTTTATTCTTGCTAACCATAGTCTAATACTAAATAACGGTTTACATTAATTTTGGGGAATTCTCAAATAAAAAGAACATATTTTTTTGTTCAATATGTAAGCAGAACATAATTTAAAGTTATTAAAAAATCTGCATTGATAAAATAGAATGATGAATTGAATACCGAATACTATTTTTATCAAAGCAGATTGCATAAAAATCGTGCTCATACTGAATGCAAAATATTGAAACAAAAATAAACTAAGAAAAATGCACTGCCATGTAATATGACAGGAATTTAATATAAATAATTTGATACGAATTGATGCTTAGATTAGCTCTTCATCAGGCAGAATCTAATCATTTTCATTTTGTTTTTCATACTTATATTTTAATATTAAAAATAAATATATTGGATGCATTTTAAGTCAACATTATTCATTATGTATTCATTAAGTTCCTCTTTATTATAGAAGAATATTGTAAAATGCATTAACAAGACGAGATAAACTAATAAGGCTCTTAAAGACATGAAATATGAATTTTTGAAGCAATATTTTCCTTATAAATTTATATTCCGAATATCAAAAACCCTTTCACTTGTTTCTTACTAACCCAGTGTTTCTGAAAATGTAAAGTGCGTAACACAGGGAGAAAACGATAAACCTACAATTGGGCCGCGAGCATATCGAAAATAAAAGATTAAAAAAATGTATTTACTGGAATGAAGTAAAACAAAATAATTTCTGACATAATATAAAAATACACATTTAAACTGATAAAATTTATATATATCATCTGCGATATTACGTCATAAAAAATAAAAGCTTCTACTTCAAAACCTCATTTTAGATATATTTGATACTGTAACCAAATAAAAAACAATTCATTTGATTTGCTGTAATCCCATGATGAGAGATTTTCTCTCTTATTACGGTTTCTTTTCAAACCAAAATAAGAAAAAACAAAACCCAGACCCATAATAAAAAAAAACGTTAGGAAGATAAAAAATTCATCACTGTTATATTATTGTCATCAGCTGTAGGCAGAAGAATGTTTTTGCTGCCGTATGACCTTCGAACTTACTTGTACGGTTATTTACGACCCTGCTCTTACGTATTTGTTTTTTACATTTAGGGAAGTTGTAAATAAACTATTTCTGCTGCTATTTTTTCCTTGTAAAATATTTTTATGATTTTTGGAAAAGCACAGAGAGCACTTTGAAGGATTATTTTGCCAAGATTTATTTCTACGAGTTATTCCCAAACATATAAAGCATACTGAAAAACGTTTTGCATAATTTTTTGAACATCCATATTGTAATAATTACTCTTTTAATCCGGAGCTGTCACGCCGAGCACAGAGTGCACGAAATCGGTTATTCTAGCAAAACTGTTTAATTGTTACCAATGGCTCTGACACTATCTTCCTCTTTGACAGTCTTAACGTATGAACTAAGATATATTTGTCACATATCTCCCTCTTTTTTGGGAGTGACAAACGTTTTTTTACAATCTTAAGGTACTTGTTTTGACTGAGTTCCCGGTGTGATAACTTTTTTTCCGAAATATTTTCTGTGTCCATGAAAGTAGGTGAGCATATTTTCTCTTAATTAAATTATTCACTGGAATTACGATTTTTATTGTGTACTATAAATTTAATTATAAAAAAGGATTGGGGTGACTCAATAACCCCACTTGACCATTAGTATCGAGTGCCTGCTTGCTCCAAGGTTAAAACATGTTGAAGTATTTTCACTTTAAATATTAAAAATAATACGATTATTTTTTATCGGAATTTTACATTATTGTTCATTATTCAACATGAATTCTAAATGCTAATTCTGTGAGGCTTAAAATAACAGTTCGCTTAAAACTAATTATATTTTGAGCAAACATTTAAAAAAATCATTTTACATTTTTGTAAACATTGTCGCGCACTTGGCTTTACTCTCCTTAAATTTCAGCGATTATACCAATAATGTTTTATTTTCTTATAAATGAACTCGTGCACAAATAGCGGGTACTTCAGACGGTACACTTTTAATGTGTCAGTGCTGCACAGAATATTTTATGACTAATTAATTAATGCTAAATTAAGAACAAGTTTAATAAGTATTAGCGATTTCCATGGGCTTGTCTTACAGAGCAAAAGAAATTTACCCACTTTCTAAAAAAAGCTGATATCTATATTTTGTCTTCTAAGCAGCCACCGCATTTTTCAAAATGTTCCAATTTAAAAAATAGAGAAAGGAAAAATAACATAATATTTATCCTATTACTTATTTTTTTTCTACATATACAAAATGTAATATTTATGAGAAAAATTTGTACGGTTTATAATTAAGATTATTGCTTTAGCGTATAAAAGAAGTGCATAATTATTGCATTCAGTACATTATTAATGTATAAGGGGGGCGCGATAAAAATTATGATTGAAAAAGGGGGTGCCAGTATTGAAAGTTTGAGAAGCATTGCTGTAAACTTAGACTGTGATGGAGATTAATATATTTTTTGAAGTAATACTTCTTTTGGGGTGTTAGGAAAGAAGTATGAGGGTACGTTTTAACGATGCATGCGCACACCTTCACGGATGTAACACAAAACCGTCACGGATATGACACATACCCTCACGGATGCGAAAATGCTTTGGCTAGAAATATACAGAATGGAACAGATCATTCCCGCCTTCGAAATTCTCAGAAAAATTATTTCTCTTCACATCCCTGAAGAAGAAGTCATCCAAGATTGAATCGGGGACCACTCAATCAGCAGTCGAATGCTCTACCAGTGAGCTATACCCCCGCGTTAGCGAACCTTTGCTTTGCGTTCCGTAGGAACGGAAACGAAAATGCTTTGTCTAGAAATATACAGAATGCAGCACATCATTCCCACCTTCGAAATTCTTAAAAAAAAATATTTTCCTTCATTTCCCTAAGGAAGGGGTTTCCTGTGGTTTGAAACGGGAACCCCTCGATCTGCAGTCGAATGCTCTACCACTTACCTATACCCCCGCGTCAGCAAACCATTGCTTTACGTTCCTTAGGACGGATACGAAAATGATTTGCCTAAAAATATACAGAACGGGACAGATCATTCCCGCCTTTGAAATTCACAAGAAACTATTTCTCTTCACTTCCCTGACGAGGGGTCACCCAGGTTTGAACCGTGGAACTCTCGATGTGCAGTCGAATGCTCTACCACAGAGCCATACTCCCGCTTCAGAAACCATTGCTTTGCTTTCTGTAGGAAGGGATACATAAATGATTTGCCTAGTAATATACAGAACGGGGAAAATCATTCCCTGCTTCAAAATTCTCAAAAAAAATTTTCTCTCCACTTCTCTGAAGGAAGGAGCGCACGGGTTTGAACCGGGGACCTCTCTCGATCTGCAGTCGAATGCTCTACCACTGACCTACACACAGTCACGGATGCACGCGCATACCTTCACGACACCCATGCGCGCACAGCGTTGTATAATATTTTAACATGCTACTTTTTTGGTTCTATAGGATTGATATTTGGGGGATCATAATAATTTTTGTTACAAACCATTTTTGTTGGGATGCATCCTCCCTGTGAATTCCCCCCTCTACAGCGTTTTGGCCAATATCTTGGCACCTGAGCCTCACAGTCCATTCGGAATTGGCTTATTCAATCACTCTCTATCTGTTTTTCCAGTTATAATTTCATGTGTGTGTGCTCATAGAGCTATTTCTTCCATAGTTTTTAATTGTCTTAAACTTTTTCAATTTGTTAAAATTCACAATATCTTAGCTCCTGATCGAGTCTTGGACTAGAGATTTGAACCAACTGTCCCACTCGACGATTACTGTGATTCCTATCGTCCATGTGCGGGGGTGTTTAAAATTATTCAAATCGTGATTCCCTCGGTTTTGACTAGTCCGATTGACTGAAGGTTAGTATCGTTCAACTCTGCTCGTGACCGTCTTTCCTCCTTGGTCCAGTTTGCCCTACTCAAGATTTTTAGAAATATTTAATCTTGTTACACCAAAGAAGTATAACTTCTTACGTGCGTACATAAGTACACATGCACTTTTTTATTTATTTCTAATGACAGATTATGAGCAGTCATAGCAAAGCTGAAACACAAAAACACACTAATTAACCCACTTCTAAGTCATATTTCAAAACTACTAGTTGAGCCTCTGTAAAGAGATCTGAGCTATATACAGGCAAATTATTATTGTAATAGAAGTATTTTTCAGAAAAGGAGAATATTTTGAAAATGGGTCATTCTATATTCATTTTTTGTCAAAATATTGTACTTAAATATTTTTTAATGTAACACTATTCTTAAAAAATTATATACATTTTCTAATTTAAGTGATAGTAAATATCATAAATATTATCCATTTATACACTTTTCAAAATCACGGTACCGAACGTAGTCGGATACCTTAATATATGAAAGCGAGAGCTCTGATAATAGAGGGTTCCGTATTATTTTTAGATACCTTTTGACCCAGATCAAGATAAATCTGGAAAAGTTTTAATTTCATTGGACTTTTGTGGGGAGATTAATATATTAATACATAATATTTATTTATGATTTTTAAAAATAAATTTTGGTGTAAATTGTTTTTATAAACATCATACATGAAATAAATGTGTTTTTTCCAAAACTTTTCAGTTTTTCCTCTTTCTTATTGTAAGCCGGGATTTAAGATTTCTCATAACTAGTATTGAAAGCAAGAAACAAGATAGAAGGAAAAAATAATATATTCACCTGTTGTTGAACATCATTACATGTTGTGAATTTCTTGTTCATTCATATGAAACGTAAAGATATGACGTTAAATAATTTTTACTTGTGATTATTTTGGAAAATAATGAAACTAAATAAGAATAACACAAAACTCTGTTTACTAAAAAAAAATTACTTTTTGTGTTGTTTAGTTATAAATGCCTTAGTTTTTCGTGTAATTCAAATTAAACTAACGTTAGTGTGACTTCTGTTGTTGCAGATGAGATGACAAACAATTTATACTAAAATTGTAAGATGTTACGTTTTGTAGAATACATGCTGAACTTGAGTCATTTGCCAAACGGTTTCTTAGAAATTAATTATTTTTGCTGTGTTTCACTTTTATCGACAACATGGTTTGTGATGTGTTTCAAAATGCCGTTTTACAGACGATGCTCTGCATACTAGTATTCCAGAAAATAAAACACATACCGCTTTGTCACCTTTACTAATAATGCCATGTTTCTCTGTCCACCAAATTTGAAATTCTCTGTTAAATTTACGAACTCGCACTTTTTACTCGTTTGTTGAACTAGCCATGTTAAACAACAGTTAAAAATCATAAATATAACACAGGTAAATTTTAAAACACAGTTGTTTAAATGAAATCGACTGTGCTATGCGTAGACCAGTGCTTCTCAAACTGTGGGGCGCGCCCCCTGGGGGGCGCGATGACCTTACGAGGGGGGCGCGAGCATATCGAAAATAAAAGATTTAAAAAATAATTAGTTTACTGGAATGAATTAAAACAAATTACTTTCAGACATAATAAAAATGCACATTTACTCTGAAATAATTTATAGGCGATATTAAGCCATCAAAAAAATAAAAACTTCTTCAATACCTAATTAGCTATCTTTGATCCTATAACCAAATAAAAAACTTTTTTTTTCATTTTGCTGTCATCCGTGATGAGATTTTTTATTACGCTTTTTTAACCTAACATACTACTCTTTCAGAGAAAAACCAGATCCCGGATCCAGAATCGAAAAACTTTAGGAACATAAAAAATTCATCACTGTCATTATTTTTGAAATACTGCACATTATAGCGGTAATCTGTTTGACCTTCTAAGTTAAGTTTTATGATATTTGTAAAACCACGGAGAGCACACACACACAAGCACATGAAGGATTACTTGGCCAAGACATACACTGCTGGACGATTGCTAAGGACGGATAACACTATCATCCATAGCAACCACAAAATGAAAGGAAGCAAAATGTGGAAAATTAGAATAAGTGCGGGATATTAGCAAGAAGAAATATGAGTATGCAATTTTTTTCCCACGACTGTTCATCACGTGATAGCGTTCATAAGAGCTTTAAAGGTTTTCACGCGTGTGGACAGTTGTTGTTTCAAGTCAAAGTTTTACAGGAAATATTAAATAGACGACATTAATAATTTTTGGCATGTCTTTCCGACATCACATAGATGATTTTATGCGTGGCCGAATTATTGAAAGATCGAAGAAGGGCGAAAAATAACACATGTTGCCAGGGAGTTCGACATCGCTCACAGCGTTGTTTCACGGCTGTAGAAGTCATTTAAAACTACTGGAATGTGTAGTAGACGGCACGGGAGAGGTCGTGTTAGAAGTACGACGCCTGCAGAAGACAGATATATCGTCCTATCAGCAAAAAGGAACAGGCGCACCACAGCTCAGCAGGTGGCAAATCAGTTTCTTGCTGCCTCAGGAAAGCAGATCTCCCGAAAAACTGTTGCCAGACGTTTGCAGGGAGGAGGACTATACGCACGCAGACCTGTTGTGTGTGTCCCATTGACCAGACAGCATCGTACTGCCCGTTTGCAATGGTGTCGTGAGCATCACAATTAGACTGAACAGGACTGGGCATGCGTACTATTCTCAGATGAGAGTAGGTTCAGTCTGTCATCGGATTGTAGACGCCAACTGATCTGGCGCGAGAGTGGTACTGCTTATCGTCCAGAAAATATCCAAGAAAAGGACCGATATCCGACATGCAGTATCATGGTGTGGGCCGGCATGATGATCAATGGCCGCACGCGCCTACATGTGGTTGCGAATGGGACTATGACGGGCCAACGATACATTGATGAAGTTCTACTTCCTCATGTTCGTCATTTCTTGGTGCTGTCGGTGATAAATTTGTTTTTATGGACGACAACGCAACATGTCGTCGAACACTCGCTGTTCAGGATTGTCTAGACAGCGAGGGTATTCAACGTCACGTATGGCCAGCGCGTTCTCCAGATCTAAACACTATTGAAAATGTGTGGGATACTTTGGAGAGGCAAGTTGATGGTCGAAACTATCCTCCGACAAACAAGAACACCCTCATCCGTGCACTCACAGAGGAATGGGATAAATTGCCTCAAAAGCTGCTGGATAATGTTGTGTAAAGTATGGTACGACGTGTGGAATGTTGCATCACACTCCACGGTGGACATATCCCGTACTGATACCTTTCTTTAAGGTGCCTACTGACTTTTAGATGTATTTTTCCATTTCTCCGTACGCAGATCAAATGAACATTTTTTTTCTTTCAGATGTTTCACAGCTTTTGTAATTTCCAGAACAATAAATGTTCTTTATTCTAATTTCTAAACAGTGTGGCAACTATATTTTATCCTACTAGGCCTCATGCCTCGCTTAATGTTATGCTACATAGCAATTTGTGATCCGTCCTTAGCAATTGTCCAGCAGTGTATTTTTATAAATATTCTCAATGTATAAAGCAGTGTTTCTCAAACTGTGGGACGCGCCCACCTGGGGGGGCGCGATAAACGTACAAGGGGGCTTGAGCATATCGAAAAATAAAAGATTTAAAGAAATTTATTTTACTGGAATGAAGTAAAACAAAATACTTTCTGACGAAATAAAAATACACATTTACCCGATGTAATTTATCTATCTGCGATATTACGTCATAAAAATTAAAGCTTCTACTTTATTACGGTTTCTTTACAAACCAAAATGAGAAAAACAAAACCCAGACCCATTACCGAAAAAACTTTTAGGAAGATAAAAAAATTTTTTACTTTTATATTATTGTCA